CAACCACAAACCTCCCCTCATGTTTTCCACTTAGTACACATTCTGTCCTTAGCCCTCCTCAGAACCTAGATATCCTTCAAAACAATGCTACTACTGTCCCATTGTTTAAAAAGTAATCCCTCACCACTTTTAAGTTTCACTGAAGGAAAATTTTCTAAGTAAATATTGTCTGTACAATATATCTAACACTGTTTTCCACAGTGCTGGTTTGCATAGTATTTTTTTCTCTACCTCTTCTTTTATAAGCAAGCCTGATTTTCATTGCTTTGGGCAGATTTTCCACCTTAAAATATATATGTTATAAGGATTTCAGCTGCCTTAGCATTTCAGCTGCCTCCAACTTCCAGTTGGACATCTTGTTTTATATTTTCCTTGTGGTTTGTGGATACCTCTCAGGAAAAGATGAGGCAATGCTGAACTCTACACATCCATCTGCATATCAGATCTCACTCCTTTCTTCTTAAAACACCTTGTTTATGCTCTCCTGGTTCTCCCTGTACCATGCTGGATAGTCCTTCTCAGTCTCCCTTGCTAGAGGCCTGTGTTTTCCTGGCTTCCAAATGTAGTGCTTAAAGGTATAGCTTTGGCCAGACGCGGTGGCTCATGCCTGTAATCCCAGCACTTTGGGAGGCTGAGGCAAGCGAATCACAAGGTCAGGAGTTCGAGACCAGTCTGGCCAATATGGTAAAACCCCATCTCTACTAAAAATACAAAAATTAGTTGGGCATGGTGGCAAGCACCTGTAGTTCCAGCTACTCGGGAGGCCGAGGCAGGAGAATCACTTGAACCCAGGAGGCGGAGGTTGCAGTGAGCTGAGATCACACCACTGCACTCCAGCCCGGGTGACAGAGCGAGACTACATCTCAAAAAAAAAAAAAAAAAAAAAAAAAAAATCCAAAAAACAAACAAACAAAAAAGGTATAGCCTTTGCCATATTCTCTTACCTATTATCTCACTCAGTGAAACTGAAAGTCTTACTCGGCTTATAAAGCTTTCCCTCCAGCTAACTCTCTCACCTTATCTGCTTCTTTCTCCTTGCTGGATGCCCTCTGGTCCCACTGACTTCCTTGCTGTTCTCTAATTACTACAAACACACTCTTTTCTCAGAATCTTGGCACCTGCTATTCCCCTGGCTTGGAAAGCTTTCCGACAATCCATGGCTCAGTCCATCCCTTCATTGAAAACTCTCTTTCACTGTTCCTGTTCAAATGTTCACCTCCACAAAGAGGCCTCCCCTGTCTCCTCTTGCTAAAACAATACTCTCTAGGAGTCTGTATCTTTTTCATCTGACTTTTTCAGCATGTTGATCACTACCTGGCTTAATATGTATTCATTTGCTGATTGGATCTACTGATAGGAGTAGAGATGTTGCTTCTGTATCCCCTGTGCTTAGAATGTGACTGGTACGTAGCAGGTCCCGAATAAATATTTGTCAAATAAAGGAATGCATGAACAAATGCATGTTTACAGGGTGTTTGACACCAGAGAGAAGGTGAATAATGGCCATTGTTGGACAGAGAGAAACACAGACATAAAGGTCTAGGATGAGGAAGACAGCAACTGGATTCTATAAAAAACAAGAAAGTCTCTTCCTAAAAGTCAGACAGAAAAACAAAAAACCTTTATATATGAGAATATTTGGAGGTTTGATATCTAAGATATGGTGGTCATCTTTCTTCTGTTACTTTTAAAAGCCTGGAGCCTCTAAAAGAGATTTCTAAAATATATTTCAAAGATACCAACACCTGGACTGACCACCTGGGATCTAATTCCCCCAGCTTCTTTCTACCTGACCTCAACTCACCTGAGTGGCTCTGACTTGGTGGTTCTCTCTTTAATATCCATGATTCTTCTCCTTGCTTCAACTTGACTATCAGCTCAGGTTTGGTAACACAGTGCCCTGTTATGGGAAATAACAGGAGACTTGGAAAAATTGCTTAGGGTTCAGGCTTTCTGAAGGAGAACAAGAATGGAGAAGCTCTAGAAGCTACACAATAATGGTGTCCCAATGTGCTTCATCAGAGTAGACCCTTTCACCAGGGAAGTAAGAATACAATATTCTTCAAAGTACCCTCAAAGAGTCTTGACTCCCAAATCTCAAACATGAAATTCATCATTCTCTACAATAATTTGCTTCCTAAGATAGGAACTGCATGCTGTTGGGAGTTGCATGGGGGAAGCTGGGCTTACCCATTGACACCAGGTGCCTGTAGTTCTCCAGCATCACATCCCTGTACAGGAGCCTCTGGGCAGGGTTCAGGAGCTGCCACTCCTTCTGGGTGAAGTCCACAGATACATCCTCAAACAGCACTGAGCCCTGTAATAGTCCAATCCTGCTCCATCTGAAGTGCCCAAGACTCAATGCCATGGAAAATATGTATGGGAAATAATCCCTACCATGTTCACTGTTAAAAGTTTACAAGGAAGTGTTACAAAGGCTGTCTGACATGTACCTTCCTTCAGTTATATTTTATGGGGGAAACAGAAATCATAATAAAAACACTAGGCCTTTATGCTTATTTACAAATCCACTTATTAATTCATAAAACAATTGGAGTTTCCTCTACATGTCTGGAACTGTTCTAGTTGCAGAGGAGACCAAGGCAAAGAAGACGTTGGTCCTGTTTTTAAGACTCTTTAGACTGATGAAGAGACTTTCTATACAAACATACACATGCAACAATGAATTATGGAAGCCACGAAAAAATGGGTGGTCAAGGTAGAAGGAGGTCACAAAGAGGGGAAAAAATTAATTCTCAGGTCATTCTTCATCAAGGAGAGTAACATTTGATTGTACACAAGCAGTGAGTTTTGTGTGAACACAGGGCAACAGCATAAGCCAAGGTGCAGATCATGAACACACACCTCAAATGAAAGGAATTACAAGGTAGTACCATGGGTTAGAAGAATAAGGTTGGGGACTTCGGAGATAAAGAACAATAGAGGTGCTGTGTGGTCAGAGGGATTTTAGACTTTCTCCTATAGACCAGTGGCCTCCAAAGTATTTAGTCACCCATTAGTAAAAATCCCTGAGCATCCCTCAGTGTATTTGTAAATTATTTATGTACACAACTCTCAGCCATTCACCAAAAGTAAAGCTTAACAACTTTCTTAGTTTTTTTAGATACAAAACAAATTTAAATGGATATTCCAATACTTTCTTTCCATGCACAATTTGATTGTCTTGTGCAGTTCTCTAGAGTATATACACCTTTACTTATATTACTTCCATGGACAATGGGGACATACAAATAAGTAATGTAACTAGATTTACATTTTGAAAGTAATGCTCCAGGGGCAGAATGGAGAATGCTTTAAGGCAGTGGTTGTCAATCAGTGGCAATTTTGCCTCCCCGGGAGCATCTGGCAATGTCTGGAAGCAAGTTTTGTTGTCATGGCTAAGAGGGGTGGGGTTGGGATCTAGTGAGTAGAGGCCAGAGATGCTGCTAAACATCCTACAGTGCACAGAGCAGCCCCTACAACAACGCATTACCTGGCCCAAAGTGTCAATGGTCAAGGTCAGGAAGCTGTTTTTTGTTGTTGTGTGTGTGTTTGTTTTTGACAGAGTCGCCCTCTGTCGCTAGGCTGGAGTGCAGTGGCACGATCTCAGCTTACTGCAACCACTGCCTATGGGTTCAAGCAATTCTCCTGCCTCAGCCTCCTGAGTAGCTGAGACTATAGGCATGCGCCACCATGCCTGGCTAATTTTTTTGTATGTTTAGTAGAGACGGAGTTTCATCATGTTGGCCAGGATGGTCTTGATCTCTTCACCTCGTGATCCACCCGTCTCAGCCTCCCAAAGTGCTGGGACTACAGGAAACTCAGTTTTAAAGGGAAGTTCGAGAGGAAGATAGTAGACTGGTGTGAGAGGTGACCACCTGTCTTCATGTAGTAGCAGTGGGGATTGAGAAGCCTGAACTAATTCTACATGGAATTAACTAGTGAAGAGCAAATGGAGCATTGTTCTCAGATTATCATGACAGCAGCTGGGCTGATGCTGGCACCATACACTAGGATTGCCACAACAGGAGAAAGAATTGGGGGGGTAGGGGAGAGAGAGAGAGAGAGAGAGAGAGAGAGAGAGAGAGAGAGAGAGACAGCTGGGACATGTTATATATACTTAAGGTATGTGTGAAACATACAGGTGGACACGTCCAGGTAACAGCTGCATATAATAAGGTCTTGGAGCTCAGGAGAGAGAGCTAGTATAAAGATGAATCTTTGGGCCAGGGGCGGGGGCTCATACCTCTAATCCCAGCACTTTGGGAGGCCGAGGTGGGCGAATTGCTTGAGGCCAGGAGTTTGAGACCAGCCTGGCCAATGTGGTGAAACCCCATCTCTACTAAAAATATAAAAATTAGCCAGGCATGGTGGCAGGCAACTATAATCCCAGCTACTTGGGAAGCTGAGGCAGGAGAATTGCTTGAATCTGGGAGGCAGAGGTTGCAGTGAGCCGAGATCACTCCACTGCACTCCTGCCTGGGTGACAGAGTGAGCATCCATCTTAAAATAAAAACTCAAAGAAGTCACTGAAATCTTTGTGCCCTCAGTAAATAGGGTGAAATAAAAGTACCTAATTCATAATATGGTTGCCAGAATTACATGAGCTAATCCAAGTAAGGAATTTAACAGCGACTGGAACATAATACGCAGACCTAAATTGTAGGTAATAGTAGAGCTGACCGACTGTTAGAATTTTGCCACTCTATCTTCAAACTTGGAACAAGAAAAATGACCAGAATGCTGGGCACGGTGGCTCATGCCTATAATCCTAACATTTGGGAGGTCGAGGCAGGCAAATCACCTGAGGTCAGGAGTTCAAGACCAGCCTGACCAACATGGAGAAACCCTGTCTTTACTAAAAATACAAAAAATTAGCTAGGCATGGTGGCACACGCCTATAATCCCAGCTACTTGGGAGGCTGAGGCAGGAGAATCACTTGAACCCGGGAGGTGGAGGTTACAGTGAGCTGAGGTTGTGCCATTGCACTCCAGTCTGGGCAACAAGAGCGAAACTCCATCTCAAAAACAAAACAAAACAAAACAAAACAAAAAAACAGAAAATATATATTCTAATACAAATTATTAATGTTCTAGTAGCTGGAAGGCATGATGCAATAATTAGCAGAGGATTCAAAAAATATTTATCATATAAAAAGAAGATGAAAAAGAAAAGTATTTAAATGATTTCCACAAAACCTGAGAAGACAGAAGAGTGTATCTTGTTTAGGTATATTATCGATGAAAAAAATTCTGATGTTGATAGAAAAATATGTTAAACACATCAACAGTAATCAATGATAATCAATTATAGAATAAAAATAAAATGTAGACTTTCAAAACCACTGGAAGAGAGAAAAAGAAAGTAAAATAATGCAGGAAAAAAGTCAGGAAGTAAAAAAATGAAGAAAAAATGGTCAAAAAAGCATGGTTACTAAAAAGGTAAAGTAGCTCTTAAGTTTCACTGGAAAAATTGAATGAGTAAATAATTTACCAGGGATGTGTTCATTTTCTTCTGCTCCTGCAAAAGTTTAGAGAAGTGTGAAGGCAGAGCTGTAGGAGGGAGAAGGAGCAAATAAGTCATGAGAAATACGCTTCACTTTGAAGGTCCTCATAGCACATGCCTAGAAATCCACAGACATCTGCTGGCAAATTGCTGAACTATGGGAAAATTTCTCTTGATCCTTCAGAAGTGGCAGGTAGAAGTTTGCACAGGGGACTCTTATAACCCTGGTATAACCACTGGAAGCTAACAGAATCAGGGTTTTCACTGGGGAAAGTAAGTATTTGTTTCTTACAAACCTCCTTGGATTTAACAGCAGACAAATATAAACCACACGAAATCCAACTAAAAAGACCTGGTTGAACAATCATGTTACAACAAAGGATGAGATGTCATGCCATCAGTCTTATTACCACACATATTACAGGCTAAATTGTCTGTTGTCTGACTGATTGATATTTTACTTTACAATAATCCAGTAGAGGCAGGTAGTAATGGGGAAAGTGTATATGTGTGTGTGTATGTGTGTGAGAGAGAGAGAGTGTGTGTGGGTGTGTGTTGGGGTAGTGGTATATAGAAGAAATAAAATTGTCCATATGCTGGAGCTGTGACAAGTACCTGGGAGTCATTATATCATTTGACTTTTCTATGTTTTGAATATTTCCATAATAAAAAGCATAAAAAATGACACAGCAAAAACTTACAAAGGTGTGCTCATTTACTTTTCTATGTATATTTTTAATTCCTGGAGGTTAAAGAATTAACAGGAACCTCTGACAACAAAAATAAGTGTGCTTTAAGGGAGTCTATTTTAAAAAGAAAAAGATTTGTTCTCCTTTGGTTTCAGTGTCTCCGAATTTTTTTTTTTTTTTTACTAAGAAACTTGTTTCCACTTAACTGAGACAGGTGGACAATGGCCTGGCAGTCATGGGGCCTGGGTTCTTTTTTTGGTTCTGCCACTAACATATAATGCAAGCCTAGATTATATTAACCTAGTTATAATTATATTAAAATACTGGCCGGGTGCGGTGGTTCACGCCTGTAATCCCAACACAAACGGAGGCCTAGACGGATCACGAGGCCGAGTTTGAGACCAGTTTGGCCAACACAGTAAAACCCTGTCTCTACTAAAAAACCAAAATATTAGCCAGGCATGGTGGCAGGCTTCTGTAATCCCAGCTGAGACAATCCTGAGGCAGGAGAATTGCTTGAACCTGGGAGGCGGAGGTTGCAGTGAGCTGAGATCGTGCCATTTCACTCCAGCCCAGGCGACACTTCGAGACTCAGTCTCAAAAAAAAAAAAAAGACACTGACAATACTTGTATAGTAGTTACTATATAACAGGACTTGTTCTAAGTACTTTGCATGTCTTCCTTAATTTAATCTTTAAAGTAAAGCCAAGCCTAGCTACTATTATGACTTCCATTTCATAAAAGAGGAAAGCGAGGGGAAGACTGAGCAATGCAGTGGAGCTGGGCTTTGAACTCAGGCAGTCCGGCCCCAGAAGCCATGCACTTAAGCACTGTGTTAATATTTTTCGCTTTTAAAATAAGGCACAATTACATAACCCCTGAAAAGCTTCCCGGTACTCCTATAAAGTCAAGAGTAGGTAGTGGGTAGCATGTCCCTAAATTCCAGATGTGGAGATGGGCGGGGTTTGAGGGCTCTGCAGAATCTAGGAAGAGGGGTTGAAGAATTAGGGGCATGGGAGGAGTTTCTGAGAGGAGTGGGGGTAGTATCTTCCCTGTCAGTCTGCGCACCAGGTCCTCACCTGGGAGTTCCTCCTCCTCCGCAGCCAGCCTCCTGCCCACCATCCTCAGCCCAGCTCACCTCTTTGTCCTGTGACAGCTGGCCCACACCTTCGCTGACCAATGGTTCTTGGCAACCTCCAAGATGCTGAGTTATTCAGGGCGGAAGAACCGGGAATTGCTTCAGGAGCAAGGGCTTAGATTTGCCTGTTCCCGGACGTCCTTGGTGCAACTCTGTGCGTTTCATCAGAGGGTGGGGACCTCCCAGGTGAGATTCCAGCTTCTGGCGTCCCCTTCTCACAGGAGTAGGGTGACCCTGGCTGGGGTAAAGGGGAATAAATTCAGATAACTGGGACCTTCAGCCGACTTCCAACTCTCTCTTGGAGTTCACCATCTCCTACAACAGAGGCTTTCAGTGTGGACCCCGTGTAGCAGGACAAGCCATAGACAAAACCTCTCAGACACCGAGTTGCAGAAGGAAGGGCTTTATTCAGCTGGGAGCATCGGCAAGCTACTGCCTTAAAATCCGAGCTCCCCGAGTGCACAATTTCTGTCCTTTTTAAGGGCTCACAACACTAAAGATTTCACATGAAAGGGTCGTGATTGATTTGAGCAAGCAGGGGGTATGTGACAGGGGCTGCATGCGCCGGTGGTCAGAGAGAAACAGAACAGGGCTGGGAGTTTCACAGTGTTCTTCTATACAATGTCAGGAACATCGGTTTCTAAGTCATGAGTTGATTTTTAACTACTGGGTTTAGGCCAGGCAGACCCGGGCCCGGTTCCGGGCCTGGCCCCGGGCTGCCTGTCTTTGGTTTTACTTGTTTTTTTCTTAAAACAGGTACTGAATATAAAACAATATGAGAGGGTCTCTTTCTTTCCTCACCCAGACTGGCAGCATCAGTATCACCTAGGAACTAAATAGAAAGGCAAATTCTTGGGCTTCTCCCCAGACCCACTGAATCAGAAACGCTGGGGGTGGGGCGCAGTCGTGGGGTGGGGTTTAACAGGCCCTCCAGGTGATGCTGATACATGCGAGTCTGAGAACCACTGCCTGCAAATCTCCCTTGGGAACCTGAGAACTGCGGAGGGCACAGACAGATGGACTTCGAGGTTCCCAGAGGCCTCAGTCACACAGTATCCCCAGGGTTCTGCAGAAACACCAAGAAATCTCCAAGAGCCTTAAGGGAAGGCTCAGTCCTCACACACTCCGGTTGGCCCATAGAGACATGCCACTCTGCTAAGTGCTGTGAAGCATGCGATCTGGAAATAAAACTGGGGCTTGCATCCCAGATCCTTCACTTGCTAGCCATGTGACTTCACATCCAGAGTGTTGGTTTTCTTCTCAGTTAAAATGGGGTGGGTAACACCGACTTTACAGAGGGTCTTTGAGAATCAAATGATACGCCGCATGAAAAGAACAGTGGGAAAGGCAGGCCACATTTCCAGAGTGCTTAGAAAATGCCACGAGCTGTGCGGAGTGCTTTAGAGGTGCTCTCTTATTCAAGACTCAGAACGACCCTGAGGCAGGTTTTAGAAATCACTTCATTTTACAGATGGGGAAACTGAGTCTTAGAGGTTAGGTTCATCGCTGCGTTCATGGAGATCCAGTGACAGAGCTAGGATGCGAACTGGTCTTACTTTCAAACTCAGACTCTGTAATGGGCTTGCTAAGGTAGGAATGATAGTATAGCATAAAGTAAACGTTGTAAGAATTGTTCTCACCCCCGCTGGAGTCGTGGGTTTGACCAGCTGATAATGGTTGCCCAGGGCACCTGCGAATTAGAGGCGCTTCTGGAAACAGCTCTTTAACATGTGAATGCCTTTTCCTGGAGCCCTTTATTCTGCTCAGGAAACCTGCTCCCTCAGCCCTTATCTTCTTCGTGGAACCAGCAGATCCGCAGCGGATCTCCTCCTCCGTCACTTGTTTTCTAGACGGACAGATGCAGGGCAGACTCGGGAACAAATGCCATGGGGTCTGAATCCGCGTAGGATTTGCGCAAATTTTTGCTTCCACAGGCTGTGAACACAAACCTACCTCAAGCCCCGCAAAGCAACCCTCCAAGCTAGCCTCTCGCCCGCGAAGCACAGCCTTAGTGCAGCACCTGGTCGCTGAGTTACGCGTAGACGCGGAGGCTCCACGCTGATCCGAGACAGGAGTAAGAACAATGAGGAAGAACTGCACATGCGCAGACAGGGCTGCCAAGGACCGGTTGCCCCCCGGGGCGATCCATCAAATTCCAGACTCCGTTTCCCACAAGTCTCCGCGCCCCCTTCCTTAGGGAACTTTTTTTTTTTTTTTTTTTTTTTTTGAGACGGAGTCTCGATCAGTCGTCCAGGCTGGGGTGCAGTGGCCGGATCTCAGCTCACTGCAAGCTCCGCCTCCCGGGTTTGCGCCATTCTCCTGCCTCAGCCTCCCGAGTAGCTGGGACTACAGGCGCCCGCCACCTCGCCCGGCTAGTTTTTTGTATTTTTTTTTTAGTAGAGACGGGGTTTCACCATGTTAGCCAGGATGGTCTCGATTTCCTGACCTCGTGATCCGCCCGTCTCGGCCTCCCAAAGTGCTGGGATTACAGGCTTGAGCCACCGCGCCCGGCCAGGGAACTTCTTAAAAGTTTCTGGCTTATTTGGCGAGTTGGGGGATTTGTGGTCCAAAGTCACTTCTACTTTTGTTTGGAGCCCTAGTTCCCTTCCTCATAACCCACCAGGTAGGGGATTTGAACGCGCTCCACGTATAATCAGTGTCACTTTAGATGTAAAGGTACCGTGAGAAGGAAAGGTGTTTGTCAACTGCACATCCGAAAACAAAATTAATGAAAGCCAAGCAACATAGTGGAATATTTATAGAAAATAAAGCAAAGCAATAAGTAAAAGATTAATAACCACGACCAGCAAGCTTTCTCCCCAGAATGCAAATATTACCTCCACCTGAAACTGGATTTCAAAAGTAAAAATCTCACGTAATGGCAAATACACATAAATCAAAGGAAAATTTCATCTAAGAAGCACACTCAGAATCTCCCCTTCCAGAGATGACCATGGTCAATGTTAGGTGATATTGAAATGGGACCCCAAAATCTCAATGAGCTATTTGGGTCTTTTCATTGAACATGTTGTTAAAAATTTTCTTACCCTTTTACACTTTTTACTTTGAAATATTTTAAACTTACAGAAAAGTTTCAGGGATGATTTATTCTGAATGATCATCTGTAAACCATTTACTCAGATTCACCATCAGCAAATAATCTGCCTCCCCACCTTCTGTCTCTCTTCTCATCCTTATCACTATTTGAGGGTAAGTTACAAATATGAACTGTCACACCTAAAACTTTAGCATGTATCTCCTAGAACAAGGGCATTTTTAAAAACATAACCACAATTATCAAAATTGTTTAAACATAACCACAATTATCAAATCCAAGAACTCAGATATAATATTATTATCTAAAATCTAAGTCATACTCAAATTTTACCCATTGTTCTAATAATATCCTTTATAATTTTTTTTCTGATCTGGGTTCAATTGAGGATCATTTTTACATAGAGTTGTCATATCATTTAGACCACTTTAATCTAGTTCCTTGGCCTTTCTCTGTCTTTCAAGACATTGTTAATTTTGAAGAGGACGCATCAGTTGTTTTGAAGAATGTTCCTTTATTTGGGTTTGTCTGATTGTTTCTGTCAGCCCTCTGAGCCCAAGATAAGCCATCATATCCCCTGGGCCTGCACGTACATATCCAGATGGCCTGAAGTAACTGAAGAATCACAAAAAAAGTGAAAATGGCCTGTTCCTGCCTTAACCGATGACATTACCTTGTGAAATTCCTTCTCCTGGCTCATCCTGGCTCAAAAGCTCCCCTGAGCACCTTGTGACCCCTACCCCTGCCTACCAGAGAACAACGCCCTTTGACTGTAATTTTCCTCTACCTACCCAAATCCTATAAAACAGCCCCACTCCTATCTCCCTTCACTGACTCTTTTCGGACTCAGCCTGCCTGCACGCTGGTGAAATAAACAGCCTTGTTGCCCACGCAAAGCCTGTTTGGTGGTCTCTTCAGACGGAAAGTTTCCTCATAATGCGACTCAGGTTATACATTTCTTGGCAGGAATCCTACATAAGGAATGTTGTGTTCTTCTTGGTGTATCATGCTAGGTCAGTGGGATAATGTCAGTTTATCCCACTTCTGGTAAAAAAAATTTTTGGCACAGCTCTCCTTTATTAATCTACCCTTTTGGTAACAATTCCTTGATCACAAATCTAGCACAGGTAGCCGAAAGACACAAAAGTACCATAGACTTTGTATTGACTCAAGTTGGATGATGACTTTTATGCTAAAATTAACACATACTGAAGAGATAAAAAGTTCCCAAAGTTTACACACGTATAGGAATACAAAGTGAGTACAATTTTAAATAAAGGATGATTACTTTTCAAATTATTTAAAGGGAAGCCTATCTTCAAACACCCTAGGAACAAGCCACTCAACACTACGTAACCTTGGAAGAGCTCTGAAAGAGTATTTTTTCCACCAGCAAACCAAAACACACACCAATTGGCAGTAGACAGATGCATGTCTTTTTACTAAGAAATGGATATTACACAAATGCCTATTTATGGCATAATTTTACTTCATGTGAATAACTGCTAAAGCATGACACCAGGCCGGGCGCAGTGGCTCAGGCCTGTAATCCTAGCACTTTGGGAGGTCGAGGTGGGCGGATCACGAGGTCAGGAGATCGAGACCATCCTGGCTAACACGGAGAAACCCTGTCTCTACTAAAAATGCAAAAAATTAGCCGGGCATGGTGGCGGGTGCCTGTAGTCCCCACTGCTGGGGAGGCTGAGGCAGAAGAATGGCGTGAACCCGGAAGGCGGAGTTGCAGTGAGCCGAGAGCACACCACTGCGTGCTAGCCTGGGCGACAGAGTAAGACTCCGTCTCAAAAAAAAAAAAAAAAAAGGCATGACACCATATGAAGTAATGGTAAATAATTAAAAGCTTATTTAATGAACATAAATAAATTGAAACTAAGAAGTGCAAAACTAAAACGGTAATAGAAAAATAAAGAATTTAATAAAACACAGTTAGAAGAATTACAAAATACTCTTCTGAATACCTGCTATGAAATTATCTATACCCATGAAGAACAGGCATTTTCCAATATTAAATTGGTGCATTGTGGTCATACTCCATAATAGATACTGAAAAGCATCATCTGTAAAAATGATTTTTTGTTTTACCTGGGAAATGTGCTTCTTACAAAAAGGTGGCTGCAAAATACAAGAGACTTTGGCAACTGTTAGTCCAAACTGCACCATTTTGTAAGCCCCCTGCCATTTTGCAGACCTTGGTCAAAGTGAAACATTCCACGGGGGTTCAGGTCATGAGAAATATTCTTATCATTCCCTGCCGGGCAAGGGCCCAACTGAAGACACATCCCTATCATATCCTGCTGGACAAAGGTCCAAGGAACATCTTATCACATCCCACTGGAAAAAGGGCCAAACTGCTTGACCATAGGTACATCTTACCAATATCCTGCCGGGCAGCAAGTCAGATGGCCCAGACCCCTCCTGCCCATACCTATAAGTACCCCAGCCTGTAAGCGGTCAGACTCTGGCTTTAAGCTGACCCCCCATCTCTGCAGGTTTCTGCAATATGCCTGTGTTGCTGTTGAGCCCCCCTCTCTCTCTGTGTCTTTCTTTAACCCTCACCTTCCCTTCAAAGCCAAACAGCAACAATTACTTGTTTTTTACTTAAAGTTAAAGAACGAGTGGGATCCAAGGAACCAAGTGGTAGACCAGGAGCATGTCCAAGTTATTTTCAGGAAACAGAGCAACAAAGCACAAAGGCAAAATTTCTAATAGAAATCCTTTTAATAACTTAGCTTGTCTCAGGGATTACCATCTCCTCCCCTTTAGTAGAAAAGTGTGACTTATTACTGTAGACCAATTACTCCACTACAGTAAACACCTTAGAATGTAGTTTTGAATCACATCTGTCTACCTGAAAGCTCAGAGGTAAAATTAGGCAAGTACCCACAAAAACAAACACAACACACTCAACAACAAAACATCTCGAATGGGGACAAAGGTTTTTCAAAAAGTGCCTAGACTAAAAAGCCTAGATTGTAAACAGTAAATACAATTCTGTATCCACCCCCAGTTTGTGTTAATATGTAGGATAACCAGATAGTTTTAACTGTATGGCTAAGCCATTTCTTTATTTATATAGACAGACAGAGCTAGCACTGCTTTGTCCTTTAAAATTTATCTGCCACACAAGGCTTAAACCACTAAACCAAGTGTCTCTACTAAGGCTAAGAATACTGCATCTATGCAGGGATGAGAAGCTTATCACATACTCACACTCACACACACCAAGCTCTTGGGAGTCAACTTTCAACTCTCCATTGATTTTATGCCCCTCTATCTTTTATTTGCATTCTTTCTCAATTTTCCTATCATACAAAACATGGTAGGGCTGGGCACGGCGGCTCATACCTGTAATGCCAGCACTTTGGGAGGTCGAGGTGCGAGGATCAGCTGAGATCAGGAGTTCAAGACCAGCCTGGCCAACATGGTGAAACCCTGTCTCTACCAAAAATACAAAAATTAGCCAGGCGTGGTGGTGCATGCCTGTAGTCCCAGCTACTTGGGAGGCTGAGGCAGGAGAATTGCTTGAACCTGGGAGGCGGAGGTTGCAGTGAGCCGAGATCGTGTGACTGTTCTCCAGCCTGGGAGCCTGGGTGGCAGAGTGAGACTCCATCTAAAACAAACAACAAACAAAACACATAATAGAAATCTCAACACATTCGCACCTCGTTCTGGTGACCCAGTAGTATTACTTGTGTACAATTAAGCAAGAGACCAAAATCACAGAGCAAGTGGACAGGGTGGGAATCACAGGGTAGGGAACAGATATAAAAACACAGATGTGCAGATTTCAGCAGAAAACTCAAGGATCCACACCCTGTGTTGGAGCAGAAGACTCTTTACAAGCGCACATCCCTTCAGCCATCGCTCCTATCCTTGGACCAGAAAGCAGGGCCACAGCTTTTGCTTTTGAACCTAGGGTCCTCAAAACGAGCGTGTGGAGTCCATAAATACAATCTGGTTGAAAACAGATGACACAACACACCTACATGAACTGTCTGACTGTTAAATTCATGTTACAAAACACTAACTTCAGGATTTATTTTTGAATCTTTTTTCCACAGAGAAAGTAACACACCTCTTGGGGAAAGGTCACAGATTGAGAAGACAGGCCCTGGGTAAAAATTAAGACAGCACCTGAAGTTGATAGGCCTGCCTAGGAGAGAAACACGGGCACTGTCACACTGCCACAGGGGACTGCTGCTGAGGTCAGCAGGCCAGTCCACATGCCACGCAAGGTGGCTATTGAGCCAAGTCATAAAAATCTTCCAAATCAACATGGAACAAGTCCCACTCATTTTCAAAGTCTGTCAGTTCATCGTCCCCATCTGCCACGAGCATAAGCAACATCTCACCCAGCTCAAAGGTGACAACCTCTTCTTCATTGTTGTCAAAGGGGTCATTGTTCTCTCTTTCCTCAATGAACTCCTAGAAGTGGTTCCTTCACTGGGCCCAGTATCTGCTTGCCTGTCTCTGTGTATCCTTTCTATGGCCATCAGGGAATACCTGCTTGTAAAAACACATCCCCCAAGATAGGCAGCTCCCCCGTCCTTCATCAAAATCCCTGCACGCCTGGCTGCTCATTGCCTCCTTAACTTTCTGGATGAGTTTCTGCTTCTCTTCTTTCTCCCACCCGGTGCTCACTGGGAATGACAAAGTTAGATGTGATCCAGTATTCTGGGTAGGACACTATGATCTTGCTCTCAAATAGCTTAGTGCCCTTCCACTTGTGAATACACTTGAGACAGTAGGTGTGGCTGCAGCTGGAGAGGATCCCAAAGCCACGCTCACCGGTGCTGGCTTTCTCACAGGCCACCTTCATGCAGATCCCACACACCATATCCTTGCTGCACTGCACAGCCAGTGAGAGCTCTGTTTCCTTCTCATGGGCCTCAGAGCAAGATTTTTACATGCTGTGGTCTCTGGGCAGCATCCATTGGAGGTAGGACCTGCAGCTTACATGATCACATGACTCTCTGTGGAGACACACACAGTTCTACCCATTTCCATCTCTCCCACTGCAGCCTAGGGGCAAAGCGGCTTCTTTGTTATCACAGCTGTTTGCTCTTTCTCTGATTCTCCCTTGGTCACTGCAGAAAGAGGCAGCATGGCTGCAGTAGAGTTGCCTGGGAACAAACTGAACAGCATCCACCAGTCCTCTGAACACACTCCTACAGTTGCAAAGTTTGAATTGGACTCAGCTTCGCCTGTATTCGTTTCAACAAGCGGTCCAACTATGAACGAGAGACTTGAGGAAGCAGCAAGGGATGATTTTGTAGTTAGATCTGTAGCAGTTGCTTCTTTCCGTTTCAGTGGCTTGCTGAGTTCACGTCTGCAGCGGCCTCCATAAACACAGCACCCTGGCTGAAAATACGTGCCCACTACGCCATGTGGACTGTCAGAGAGGGAGTGCAAGTAGCGACAGTTATCTCCTTCCTTACAAATCCCATGCACAAAATACCAGTAGGTGACCTGTTCAGTTCAGCCGTTGCTGCAGCTACTGCCACTCCTTCTTCCCAACCCCAGGGACGGGGGTGGTGACTGTGGGATAGGGGTGGGATAGCTGACAATGCAGGTCCTGCTCCTGATATTGTGGCTGTTGTTTTGGGAGCTGCAGCCTCCACTGTGACTGTTTATCCCACACGCCCATTTTTGGCAAGATTAACTTTGATCCCATGGTTAAGATGATGTGTAGGCCAATATACTTTTATATCAATTGTTTCTTTTCTGCTGCTGCTGATAATAATAACTTTAAAATAGTAAGCTCCAGCCAGGCACGGTGGCTCAGGCCTGTAATCCCAGTTCTTTGGGAAGCCAAGGCAGCAGATTCACTTGAGACCAGGAGTTTGAGACCATCCTGGGCAACACAGTATAACCCCCTCTCTAAAAAACAAAACAAACACAAAAACACTAGAAAAAATTAGCTGGGTATGATGGTGCACACCTATAGTCCCAGCTACTCAGGGAGCTGAGGTAGGAGGATCATGTGAGTCTGAGTGGTCAAGGCTGTAGTGAGCTATGATCGTGCCACTGCACTCCAGCCTGTCCCAGCACTTTGAGAGGCTGAGGCAGTCGGATCATGAGATCAGGAGATTGAGACCATCTTGGCTAACATGGTGAAACCCCATCTCTACTGAAATACAAAAAAAAATTGCCAGGCGTGGTGGCAAGTGCCTGTAGTCTCAGCTTCTCAGGAGGCTGAGGCAGGAGAATGGCATGAACCCGGGAGGTGGAGTTTGCAGTGAGCCAAGATCGTGCCACTGCACTCCAGCCTGGGCGACAGAGCGAGACTCTGTCAAAAAAAAAAAAAAAAAAAAAAAAAAAAAGCTGGGCGCGGTGGCTCACGCCTGTAATCCCAGCACTTTGGGAGGCCGAGGCAGGTGGATCATCTGAGGTCGGGAGTTTGAGACTAGCCTGACCAACATGGAGAAACCCCATCTCTACTAAAAATACAAAATTAGCTGGGCATGGTGGTGCATGCCCGTAATCCCAGCTACTCAGGAAGGCTGAGGCAGGAGAATCGCTTGAACCCGGGAGGCGGAGGTTGCAGTGAGCTGAGATCACGCCATTGCACTCCAGCCTGGGCAACAAGAGGAAAACTCCGTCTAAAAAAAAAAAAAATTAGACTATGAAAAAGATGAAATTTCTGGGAAAGAGGGGGAAATCATGTTAGGAAACTAGAGGTGTTGGTGGGAGAGAGGATTATCTGTCTAGCACATACAGCCTATAACACATAAATTTCATGTAGACTTTTGGCTTAACATTTTTAACAGTAAACCAGCAGGATTCTAGAGAAAATATAAAAAAATTTTCTTGCCTAATCTCTAGGTAAGAATACCAAGCCATCAAAGGCAGTGGCCACAAAAGAAATGACTGCCGAATTTTACTCTAGACAATTTAAAATCTTGCTTTTAGAAACAAACAAGTAAAAAGACACTTAGAAAATACATTTGTTAAGTATATGAAAGAAATGGTTTGTTGACTTCATTTAATTATCTCTTACACATTTATAAGAAGATTACACTACCATAAAAATGATCTATGAATATGAAGGGTAATAAAAGGGAAATGCAAATGAAGAATAAATATGTGAAAAGAGCCCATAAACTACAAATTAAAAATGCAAATGTTTATTTATTTATTTTTTGAGACAGAGTCTCACTCTGTCACCCAGGCTTGAGTGCAGTGGCTCCATCTAAGCTCATTACAAACTCTGCCTCCTGGGTTCATGCAATTCTCCTGCCTCAGCCTCCCGAGTAGCTGAGATTACAGGTGCGTGCCAGCAAACCTGGATAATTTTTGTATTTTTAGTAGAAATGAGGTTTGCCATTTTGGCCAAGCTGGTCTTGAACTCCTGACCTCAGGTGACCCGTCTGCCTCAGCCTCCCAAAGTGCTGGGATTACAGGCGTGAGCCACCACACCTGGCCAAAAATGCAAATGTTTACATACACTTTTTGGCCTTTATAGTTGGCAGATTATAAAGAAAAATGATACATAGGATGGGTATCAGTTTGGGAAAATGTTAATTCTGATAATTTTTTTGGAATATAATTTCTAAAACAAATTATATTTGTTGGAGGCCATGCCACACCAAGTTGGAGACCACTCCACACCAGATTTAAAATGAGCATGCACTTTAATAGAGCAATTCTATTTCTATTAATGTGCCCTAAGGAAATAGCTGTCCAAAGATAAGTGTGTAGGTACCTTTCTCACAGTTCATGTTAACGGCAATACGCTGTAAAAAATCTAAATGTGAAAAAAGGATAAAATAACTTGTAGGAATCTATAAGGTGAGATGCTAGGTACCCATTAAAAATTATAATGCAGGTGACTTCCTGCTGACAAGGATATAAAAGAAAAAACACATAATGTAGGGATATTCTAAGTGATATGAGTGGAGTTTACAATATTTTTAAATAAAATGTACTTTACACACAAAAGTAAGGCATTGGGTTTTTTTTTTTTGTAAAAATAACACATATTTCCTAAGGGTTTAAATATATATGTAAATACTAAACACAGGGAAAAAATTGTACCAAAATAAAAATTAAAAATCGACTTCATCCTCACACATAACAATAGTGCAGTCTATGCCAGGATTTTGTTTACAAAGGCCTAGGAAATTCAAAACTTGCATCATTCAACACTAATATCCCCCTAGGAATAGACATGGAATAGAGAGGAGGCGTTCTCAGGGGCATAAATTTACATTATTTGTGGAATATATGTACGCTAATGCTGCCTTTTAAATATTCTCAGCTTTAGATCTGATGTTGTATTGAGTGTTCTCTACTAAATTAACTGCACAGTGCATTGTGGTGTTGGTTTAAGTATCTTTGTAGTATATTATAACATCTAATTTCCACTTCAAAGTAATTGATCTTCATGAATTTTTTTTT